TCAGACAATTTCTGCATTCTTTACTGTTATTCTTCAACCTTTGTTCCTCTAATCCTATCCCTTATCAATGAAATTGGAGAAACTGAGCTTCTGTAGAATCAGGAGCTGATCAAATTTACCACAGAAGAAGAAAATGCAGATTATTTCCATTTCCATACCAAGAAATACTTTGGCACTTCAATTTTGTTTTAAAGCCGGCAGGACACAGAGTGGGCACAACAGCAAAAAGATCACCACTACAGGGATGTACAGCAAGCTGAGTTCTGCCTGCAACTTGAGACGAACGCATGATAGGCAACCAGTGGGTTACTCATGGTGTTGTAGTTATTCTATGCCCAAAGCACTGTCTCCTCCATCTCGCTACCCTGTCTAAATCCAGGCTAACTATTGACTTCTCCCTCTAGGAGTTTATACCCATTCAATAGGTTGCAAAAACCGCTGACCTGGCTGAATTCCCTTCAAAGCAGGACCCAGGTAGGATTCCCCTGACAGCGTTCCTACAGCAGGAGCTCTTTGATAGCTAGTGGGAACCAAACCACTGGAGACAGAAAGGAAATCTAAAGAAAGAAACACGACAGGGAAAGATGCCTGTGAGGTTAAATGGAACAACAGGCTACCAGCAGCATGGATCAGAGTCCTACAAAAAGTTCCCGCGATGGCATTAAACCAAGTTTATTTTGAGGCTACAAAATATTGAAATCCACATGAAGTAATTGGTCTTCAAAAAACACTATGCATAGATTTTAAAATTTTTCTGCACCAAAATAAACTCATCTTTTAATTCCATTTTTCCAGGTGAGGTCATGATCTTACTTTAGTAAAACAAATCCTCCACTGTATCCTGTATGCATGTACAGGAACAAAAAAAAATCTAGATGGATATGGGATATATATGAACACATGGTGGTTATTCCTGGGGAAGGGGATGTTGGTTGTTCACCCCATCTCCCTCCTTATTTTCTGTATTCTCTGATTTTTTTTCACAATGACCATAATTAATTTTATAGTTGGAAAAATAAAGATGTTTTATGAAGAAGCAAAAAGGAGTAAAAATAGTGATTTTCTGACAACTGAAGGAGAGTTTTTCCTTCCAACTAGGCAGATTTTTCAAGTTCCTCTGGGATTTCTTAAAAGAGCTGCTTTTTGTTTACTAAGCATTTAAAAGATCCGCCATTGAAGTTTGTGAAAAGATGAGGCTAGCAGTCATAATCCCAAGGTTGCAGCATCATTAAGAGTAATGAGAAGACGCCAGCAGGTCTCCGAAAACCAGCTGAAAGATCCCAGTGTGTGTTCGGAGTTTTGTGTCTTGTGTGGCCGGAGCCATGGCTGGTGAAAAGCAGTCTCTTCCAAAATGTTTGCACCAAGCCCTAAGGATGCACTCGAGAACTTCATAAACATAAAATGAGGCCACCCGTTCATTTCTCTTATGTCTGGCTTAAGACATCTTGTAAAAATAGATATATTTACTAACCTATTAGTAAATGTGCCTATTTATAACATACTTACATGGTGCTGCTGTCCAGTCCACACAGCAAACCCCCCCCCCCCCCCACCAACTATTACCTTGAGACTGATTCAAGACAAGACAATCACAGGGCTGGCAGTTCAAAGAAATGGATTTCTGATTATGGCACAGTATCGCTGCCTCTTAGATGGGTTTAGTCACTTATTTCCTTTTATTATAATGCCAAATGTTATTTAGATTTCAGTCATTTAGTAATGCTACGCTGAACACATCAGGGCTTCTGAAAAATTCCATACCTCCCAGTCCTTTCATTTTCATAATAACCATATATCGATAGCCCTTTTCCAACCAAATTACATCACTATTTGAAAAAGAATCTGTGCTTTATCAGAGTTTAAAAGATTATGATGCAATGAACAACAGTCTTAAAAAAAAATGTTCCTTCATGTTATTAAGAATTAGGAAATCTTGTTAAAATTCTTTCAGCTTTTAAGAAACATAAGCAGCTTTGGGATGTAGTGCCTGACATGAACTTTTTAAGTAATTCCCTTGGAGCGATCATCTGCATTAGTGAAGATATTTCGTTCAAGGTAGCACCCTACGCTGCTTCTCAGTATTTCAGCAGTCAATCTAATTGCTTTCTTAAGCCAAAGATTGAAAATAACTAACACTACAGTCTTTTAAGGCTTAGCTAGCTTAACTTTCTCTAATGGTGAGAGCCATACTCACCATCAAGGCAGAGAGCCCTTTCTGACGCAAGTGTAGCTAATGAGCCCAGTTGTTAAGGGACGGGGAGAGCACAGTTCTCCCTGGCCTCGCTTAGGATGGCTAAAGGCAGGCTGCAAATGTAGTGCCCCTTGCCATCACACTGCAATGTTAACAGCAACGCTGAAAGACACACAAATTCTCCCACGCTCCAGAATTAACAACAGGGAAGAAGCGAGTTCTAACGGTCCACCTCGAGTTGTTTTGTGCATCCCACTGCTTCAGAGAAGCTATGGGATTTCTCAAAGGCCTTATGTTAAAATATTTATTTGCTTTGCTGTTCTATTCTCACGCTAGCCTAGCATTCTCTAGCAGAATTGGTTTATAGGCTGTGGGATTTTTTTTTTTTTCTTTTATTCATCCAAAGTGACAAGTCACCCTTGACATGAGTTGTGTGGGTCATGAAACTCAGTGTGAATAGAACTCATGGTCTGGCTTCCAGTGGGACCTAATTCATGAAGGCTACATTAACAGAGGCATAGCACAAGGGTACTTCAAATAGCTCATGTAAAATGGAATTAAAAGATAAGTTTATTATGCTACAAAAAAAAATTTGAAATCCATGCACATGAGGAGTCTGCAAAACGTTCATGGAAAATACTTAAACTGCACTTGGATTTCAAAATATTTTGTTCCCAAATATTTGGTAAGTTCATTTTCCATGACCTTTCTGAAGCCTCCTGTAGCCTCTATGGACTTTGTGCACATCTGGAAGGCTGTCTTCAGGAACAGAAATCTAGAGGGCCATCAACAAACAGAAGCATGGCCAGGCCGAGATGAGCAGGGAGGGGAGGCTTTTGAGTGGAATCAACACTGCTTGGCCTGGAAAGAAGAGAGGATCTGATGCATCTGACTCCATGTATTGGAGAGAATGTGCTTGGGAAGGAGGAGTCAGTTGAAAAAGTGGTTCCTGGGGGCAGGCCTTGCATTAGGGCGTGAAGTCAGAGCCCGATGGATTTTCCTCCATAGTGGGAATAACTTCCACTCTATGAGAACTGCTCAGCAATGCAGTGGACAGCGTTCTCTAGCCAGGAGCTTCTTGTTCTGGCAGACTTCAGAGGGGTCGCCGGTCGGTTCTCCTGCAGAGGTATGGCTGCCGTGATGGAAACAAGGAAACTAAGCGCACTTGGCCAAGGCCTGCCTTCATGCAAAGGCTTAAAAAGCTGGAGCCTGTCACCCTGCATGTTTGAGTCAGGAAGAATCAAGGTTCCCCAACCCAACTCCAGAATGAACGAGCAGAAAACTGTTTACATGTACTGCTCATCAAATACATCCCACCATGCACATCCTGATGACTGAAACCAGTTCCAATGATCTCCCTGAAATGGGAATTCAGGAACCTACGCCTTCCCCTCTGAGCAACATTATTGTCATTTTTAAAGGGTAATGAATAATCCTAAATATTCTCTTTTCTCAGTGAGTGTGGGACTCACTGGAGAAGGATGCTCACCAGTGCTACAGGATGAGGAATGCCCTAGATTCTGCAGTTAACGTCAGTGACAAAACATGGATTGTTTTAGATGGAATTCAGTTCCCAAAGATGCAAATATGCCTTTTCCCTTCTCTGTGAACAAACATATTGTGATTTTTCTAGACAGGCCAAATTATTTTCTTGGAAGTATGTAGAGTTATTTGAATGTTAATCTTTAGATTTTTTTTCATTTTGCTTTCAAATACAATGCCTTTGTGTTGTGAATCTGTTTCAAAACAACAGATCAAGTAGAGTACAAGCATCTTTGAAGAGTGCAAAAATAATTTCCCAAGTAAGCAAATAAAACTTTGCACTTCAAATCAGGCCTTGATTCATTAAAAATCTTAAACTTCTCATGAGAAAAATTAACATTTAAACCACTGCTGCTTGGCCAAGCACTCCACCACACAAGAATATGAAATATCTCCTCTAAAAAAGTACAAAAAGGACAAAACCACAAATGTGGAACTTCAATTAATTTAAAGCCCCAATCAGCAAAGAATAAATCCTTCGCAGATCTAATTACCAGCGCTCTCGGAAGACCCAGGCCGACCAGCCAATCTTCCCCGTGTTTGAACAGCTTGATGAACTAGGGGACTGATGGATATCAAGTCATTTTGTTTAATTTATAAATGGATTTTCCCCTAATACTTAAATTATCATCAGTACAACACAATGAAAATGGGAACATTCTGAATGCAAAGTCTATAAGAGTCCTGGAAGGAATCCCAATGAGGAATGTCACCTCTGTTCCTTCCTCTATACAATTGATCTAATTAAATACTGAGGGTGGAAAGGCAGTTTAAAATGTAGCCATTTCTGTTTTCTTTTTAGCCTTAATTTATCTGTTCACATCTTTCAAGTACCTTCCGATGCTTAAACAAAAAAAAAAAAGCTGCCAAGATTTTGGCAACTTCCTAATACTTCTAATTCTCCAACTCAAAATGCTTCTGCCATAGATTTCGCTGAATACCAAATAAATGCTTTATGTTTAGCCATGGTAATAAAAAAGGGGGGGGGTGACTCACGCTGGAAGCTTTTCCCTCCAGGAATCTGAAAACAAAACTAGAGGAACTAGAACCTTCTATATGTATTGTTCAACTGAAATGAGATCTCTGGATTAAACTTATTAAAATGTCTCCTTATTTTCAAATCTCTTCCTTATTTAATTACTGCACGGGACTGAAAGCTGCATGGAATCGTTAAATACCCTTGGTCCTATTTATAGTCTCTTCACACAGGTCACTTGAGCACTCTGAGCCTGCCCACCAACCCACACACTGGCGGTGCAGTTCCCACCTGGTTCAGGGGTCTCTGACTGAGAGGAGGAAGATGCTGAGCTGGCTCCGTCCTCGGCGGTGCCCTGAGAGAGGAGACCCCGCCCGGGCGGGAGCTTCATGCCCAGCTGCTCTGCCATCTCCACGTGGTCCCCGGGGTGCACATAGTCAAAGACGCTGCTGCCTGTCAGCTCCACCTACAGGGGGGCGAGAACAGGGAGGAAAGAGAGGTGTGGATCAATGCACCCAGGCCATGCGAACAATCCTGCATTCAAAGTCTGCAAATCTTGGGGTGCTGGAAGGTGAAAGGCTGTTCTCATGTGCATTTATCCACTATGGTTTAGCCCAGTTTTTGCCTTGTACGCGGTCGTTTGCATAAAGCCAAAGCGTTCCGTATAACATGGACCAGTCTGCCTCGTGTGCAGCAGTTTTAGCCACGCACCATCAACTACTTGCATGTTTGGTGTCAAATGGATGATTGACTGAATTCTACAATTTTTCTTATTGAGAAGTTTGGGATTCTCAGAAACAGCTACAGAAAGCACCATCGATAGCAGACGAATATTTTTCTTAAAACATATACATTTTCAAGATGCGTTTTTTTTTTTTTTACAAAACATCTTATTTCTATGTAAATTTAAATGTAAGAAGGGTTGCTTACGAGGTATGCAAAGGCATAATGTTTTCATTAAATATTACTCATTAGCTCTGTAATGACATGGAGAATTTTCCATGCAAAGGAGGTCAGCTGGGGTCTGAAACAGCCGTATTTTTTTTCTGCTGGTATCAGCTTGTTTTGCCTTCAATCTAATAAAATACATGGCACAAATCTCCTTGAGGGCTTTTTTGAAAAATTGTTTATTTTGTTATTAGGCTGACTCTCAAGGTAGAGAATGAACATCAAATATCAAAATAGTTGCAGCCGGAGATGGAGGCACTAGCTCGCTCAGTGCTGTCCAACACGACCTCGGTGTTCGGGTCATGTCCATCGCGGGGCAGAAGTTGCTGGTGAGGATCAGCCGTACCCTTGTATTCTTCTAATACTCTTTGATCTGCTTCTAAGGACAGCAACAGCCCTCCTAACGTGATGTACTTGGGTGATAGGTATTACAACAGGGAGCTGTCTGTTAGCAGCAGGACACGGAAAAGCTCTTTCCCAGGTCACTAATGGGTTTCTTGGACCTCTCTGAGTGTAATGGGCTCTGGCCAGCGATGATGTACCACGGAGGCTGCCAGAAAGTCCTGTCACAAGCATCTTTGCGGATATTCACCTAGAACCCCTTGCTACCTCCTTTCCGTTTCCTGTGCCATTTCCAGCATCCCTTCAGATTCCACCGAGTACCTGCACCCCCTTTCCTGCCCAGAGAAACAGAACATGGAGAACCATCATTATCCCCAGAAGTCCATGTCCAGGGAAACCATCCCATCTATTCCTAGGCACCGTGAGATGAAATCTTAGCAGGCTACACATCTTCAACATCCATCAGTTAACAGAGTATAGTCAGAAAAGTGGGAAGCCAAAATCAGTTTGGTTATAGCTCTTCCTGAAAAAGGCCCGCGTAAGTTTTACCGAAAATGAGGTACTTTCTCTTGCTATTAAATGACACTCTCCTGCAGTATTACCTGACTACTGACTGTAGCCTTTTACAATACGTATTTCCTCCATTCAGTACTGTTGCAGAGTGTAAATCAGGATTCACAGTGATCAGCTCATACCCTCTGGGAGGGGGGGATTACACGGAAATAATCCCTTTAATGTGCGCCTTGCCTCTAAGCACTTCACACAGCAATAAATGGGTAAACTGACTTTGAGCAATTAAGAAATGAAATGAAACTAATAAAATGTGTGTTTTAATATTTCTTGATGGTTATTCTGTTTGGGGGTTAGGGACTAGGAGGAAGGCGCTCTGATTTTGCATGGAGTCCGACTGCAGCACTTTAAGGAATACTTCTGTCACTCTTCTCAAACTCTTTTTTTTTTCTTTAATACTGCAATGTGCCTTTTGGCACAGACCACAGATTGTGATAAGATGACAACATAAGTGGGAGATAAAGTAGAATTTTTTTAAGGGTTCTGCTGATTAAATATTCATATAAGCCAGTCTGTAGAGAAGTACAGACCAGTATCTCCCAGCATGATTTGCGTGTATGTGCAGGCACCTCCTCCCCACAGAATAATGTCCCGAGCATGGAGCATCCAGCCTGTGACTGAGTGCCACATGCCTCCAGAGGCTTCATGCAACTCCCAACCCAGATTGCTGAAGCTCAGTGTTCACTGATATGCTGACATATCATAGTCTCCATGTACAAGAGGGCTTCAAAAACATTCATGGAAAGTGGAGTTAAAAGATCAGTTAATTTTGGAACAAAACATTCTGAAAACCATGCATAAGAGTCATCTTCGACAAGTTCATGGAACATAAAAATTATGCATGGGACTGGCATGGTGGCACAGCAGGTTAAGGTGCTGTTTAATTTTTTTTTTTACACCAAATTAAACTTATCTTAAATTAAAAAAAATTTTTTAAGTGGGAGGGTCTCCATCCACTCACTAGTTGACTCCCCAAATGCCTGCAGTGGCTGAGGCTGGGTTGGGGCTAAAGCTAGGATGAAGGTACAGAATCCAGGTCTCCCACATGGGTGGTAGGAACTCATGTACTTGAGCCATCACCACCGCCTCCCAGGGTCTGCACTGGCAGGAAACTGGAATCAGGAGCTGGAGCTGCAAATGGGACCCAGGTATTCCTCCATGGAACATGGGCATCTTAACTGTTAAGGCCAAATCCATACCTGTTCCCCCACTTCTCTTTTAATTCCACTTTCTCACGAATGTTTTGAAGCCCTCTTCTATATTTTATAGCTAAACCAATAATGTAAAGAGGATATCAACAACTATGGGACACCAGAAGCTGACTTTGAGATCAGAATCTTCTCCCCTTCAGCAGTGTGATCTTGAACAATCATTTAGCTTTCCTGGGCTGCTCTGTAGGACTCTGGGGGCACCACGCACATCGTTTTCCACGTGGATAGCAGGTAGCATTTGAAACCTTGGCTGAGGACATGTCTCTTTAGTCCTGTGTCCTTCGGGCTGGGGGCAGGTGGCCTGCCAAGCCCCTGGGGCTGAGCATGCTTTGCCATTGGAGTCTTGTGCCAAAAGAACATGTTAACGAAGGTGTTTCAAACCAAAACAGATGTAGGGGTAGACAGAAGTCTATTTACATGTGCACCTCGAGTCATCATCATACCTGACATCTAACACTTAAGAACAGTTCTCATATTCCTTTCCCTTCACTTAATTAAACCCTGGAGCTGGAAGAGACCATTCACATCCCCTATTTAATAGGTAACAGCACTACAGTTCTATGACACTGACAAGTTTACCCAGCTGTTGAGTGTCGAAGCAAGGCTGTAGGCTCCACTGCCTTTCAGTCTACCACTTGCTCACTAAACCTGCCTGGGTTTTTTTTTTTTTTTCCCTGCTCTTACGAAGACTGACGAGGTAGGACAGACTAGAACTCATGTTTCCTGCCACTAAATTGTGTGCCTCAAGAAAGACTACATACACCAAAACGGGGAGTTTTTTACTGGAGGGGTAGACATTACTTCATGTTACTTTCCAGTCGGAAAAATAAATGGAACTTCAAGTCAGTGTTAGATAGTTTCACATCCTCATTATGAACTCTTTTTTTTTTTTTTTTTTTTTTTTTTTTTTTGACAGGCAGAGTGGACAGTGAGAGAGAGAGACAGAGAGAAAGGTCTTCCTTTGCCGTTGGTTCACCCTCCAATGGCCGCCACGGCTGGCGTGCTGCGGCTGGCGCACCGCACTGATCCGATGGCAGGAGCCAGGTGCTTCTCCTGGTCTCCCATGGGGTGCAGGGCCCAAGCACCTGGGCCATCCTCCACTGCACTCCCTGGCCACAGCAGAGAGCTGGCCTGGAAGAGGGGCAACCGGGACAGAATCCGGCGCCCCGACTGGGACTAGAACCCAGTGTGCCGGCGCCACAAGGCGGAGGATTAGCCTAGTGAGCCGCGGCACCGGCCCTCATTACGAACTCTTAAAAACTTTCGCTCACCCTCAACTAGAACTAGTGTCTTACTTGCAGGAGCTCTATTGGAAACATTTGCTGGATGAAAAAAGGACGGGTATTTAGGCCTGCAAAAATTTTTGCTTTGTGCTTCACTGGACACATTTAAGTTGGTTCTTTTATAGCACTATTTATGACACTATTATTGTAACACAGAAGTGTTGTGATAGCATTATTTACTCTGAAATATCAGTTACAATATGGTATCGTAAGGTATTCATTCCCAGCATGTCCTTGCTGTATAAAGACTTACACCTTCTGTGATGGACCCCTAGCTGAATTTCATTGAAGATAGGGTTGTGTAAGACCTGGGGATGGGTCAGCTTTAAGGTCCTTTTTAAGAGAACAGTGACCATCTTTAATAACCCATTTTATTTCCAATCTATGGCAAAACTATGTTTAATTGGTTAGTCTCTTTTTATTTATTTATTTATTTATTTATTTATTTATTTATTTTTTTGACAGGCAGAGTTGACAGTGTGAGAGAGAGACAGAGAGAAAGGTCTTCCTTTGCCGTTGGTTCACCCTCCAATGGCCGCCGCGGCCGGCGCGCTGCGGCTAGCGCACCGCGCTGATCCAATGGCAGGAGCCAGGAGCCAGGTGCTTTTCCTGGTCTCCCATGGGGTGCAGGGCCCAAGCACCTGGGCCATCCTCCACTGCACTCCCTGGCCACAGCAGAGAGCTGGCCTGGAAGAGGGGCAACCGGGACAGAATCCGGTGCCCCAACCAGGACTAGAACCCGGTGTGCCGGCGCCGCTAGGCGGAGGATTAGCCTAGTGAGCCACGGCGCCGGCCCTGGTTAGTCTCTTAACTTCTACATCCCTCCATCCTCATCATCTGAATTCTAAGTGACATAAAATTATGTCTTTACTATTCCCTCAAATCATCAACAGTAGAAATTTCTTTTGATACCAGTGATTGGTTTTATCTTCTATCCTTAATTATTATTTATTTAACACAAAGGTATAGATTTTTCCCCCATTACTGCGTTCTTCAGATAGATGAGTGTGAATTTCATTCTAAGGCAAATGCAAGGCCCTCTCCATCTCCTAGTCCACCCAGTCACACTATCGGGTGGGGAAGAAACCCTTCCATGCTCTGTTTACTAAACA